ATTTCTTATTGCACTATTGGTCAATACAATAGCTAAGTTACCGTCTTCGATAATTTCTGATTCGGGTGTCTGCCGACGGGTAATATTACGGATGTGAAACGTGCTTGCAAAATTCATTCATTCATTCATTTGTTTATCTCGATGCCTTTCTGCATAAAATAATATAATAACATCACCTCAAGAAACACAATATCTAAAATTACGGAGGCATCCCTGTGAATATGAAAAGTATCTAAAACTCAGCCTGTTTTTGGAGTACTATAAACTCTATATCTCGTCAGGAAGTATGGATATGGCACCAGATAGTTTTGGACATATCCGGATCGCAAATCTTCCGGGTCGGTACGTTACTGGGTCATGACAAACGCGGCCGCTTGCGGTCTGTCCATCAATATATGTGCACACTCAATGCTTGTTCGGTACTTGTGACTGATGTAAGTTCCTTACCACCTACAGAGTGGAAACTTCAAACGTATGTGACCCCTGGACTAGAGGACAAATTGAATGAAAAAATCATCTTCATTTCTATTCTTTTCGATTTCGTTTCTCTATGTTCCGAGTTTAACTTTGAAATCCGATGAATATATATTTAACTGTACTTTGAAATACATTGTGTCGAATTAAGTGTTTGTCGTAAAGTTCTAGATGTAAATTATTTGAAGAGAACACAAAGTCACGACTGCCACCTGCCCTTATCCCACCTAAGTGGGTTCGGCACAAAATGAGAGTCACGTTGTTAGTGGTATTGGTTCAAACCCGGGTGTTCAGGCTAATTAATCTACTGGTTCTGAATGCGATGAAGCTTTAATAGTGTACGAACTGAAAGTGCTATTAAATAGTGATATCGACTAGTTTTTTTACGACTGGAAAAGCTTGTCGTTTTTCCAGCTTGAACGCCAAATATGCTGTCTCCTTTGGGACAAAAACCTAGATCCAGAAAACGTTACACAAACACTTGCCTCGTGTGGGAAGCGAACCCACGATCTCTGGTGCTAACGACAATATCTGAGCAATTGCATATGCACATTACGAAACATGCAAAAATAAAAAATCGAGCATTACAAAATACACCCAAATAAGCAACGTTGCACACACGTAAGTGCAAAACGGCCGTGGTAATAAAATTCTGGTAATATTAAAGATCAAAACTTTTTATGTCTTAAAAAAAAGGAAACTCATTAAAAATTTAAAAATCGAACGTTACAAAATAATACCATATATGTCGAATAACGAACGCAACGATCGGGTCCGTGGGCGTAATTCATAATGATGCGTGCGTTCCGTCATCGAGGTGGATGGCGTTGCCAAACGATTGTGTAAAGCTCGGGGCCTGTGCGGGGAATAAACAGCGGCCCGCCAGGATACCGGGCAGGGTCAGCGTACTCGGCCGCCCCCGCGCTCCGCCACGTCACGAGTAATACGTCACACGCGCGACCTCGGGGGACGTTTGAATAGGAGAAAAATCACCGGCTGACATTTCTTATTTTTTTATTATTTTACTCGTCGAAGCTATTGCCGACGCGGGCAACGTTTTCAGTACTGTGTGGAAATAACTTGAAGTTCTCTTTTTATCTGTGGCACAACGTCAAACGCGTTTGTTGGCATAGCCAAGTTGTTTATTACACATTAAAATCCATTATTGGAAAAAGACATAAGAAGTGGTAGACATAAAAAAGGGTGCTTGCCTGCGCATTTACGTCTTCTAAGCTTCCCTGATCTTCAAGAAGTAAAAAAATCATTAACAATGAGCAAATTAACTTGCACTGAGACAGACGCAGTAGAACTAAGGTGACCGACATAGCTCAGAGGATTAGCAAGCTGAAGTGGCGATGGGCCGGCCATATAGCTCGTAGAACCGATAACCGTTGGGGAAGAAAGGTTCTCGAGTGGCAGCCTCGTACTGGCCATCGCAGTGTGGGACGACCCCCCACTAGATGGAGTGACGACCTGTGCAAATGTGCGGGAAGTCGATGGATGCAGGTAGCTCAGGATCGTACTTCGTGGCAGTCTATGGGGGAGGCCTATGTTCAGCAGTGGACTCAAACAGGCTGAAATGATGAGACAGACGCAAGAGTATTAAGTTTTTCAATGGTCGTTTTTAAATCAATTTAATTTTGAGTCCGTTTATAATATGTTATGTTTGGTTTAAGAAAAGGGGAGGTGCACTGTATTAAAACTTTTTTAGGTTTTTGTCATTTCGTTCAATACTTATTTATTAAACCTCGATATAATTGCATAACACTTACTTGAATATTAGATCGTTGAATCGAAACAGAGAGACGTCCATGGTGTTCAATTTTTTGGATTTCTTAAGTGCAAATATGCTCGATATATGTCGGGTTTGTGACAAAGCTATAAGACATGACTAATGTCGTTTGTTAAAAGTAAGTTTGGTCTTATGAGTTCGTTCATAAAAGGAGGTAAATAGCTGGAGATTCACCTGATAGTAAGTATTAATCGCCGCCTTTTTACATTTGCAACACCCGAAGGGTTGCAAATACGCTGCAATCTTTTAATAAAGTGGGGCCCGGCTACTCACTCACCAGACAAAATGCAGAAGTACATTTCTACTTAACGCCGGTCTTCTGCGAGGTCGTGGTACTTACCCAGACGGACCTGTCTATTCATGCCACAGAGAAACCTGTTGCGTGGTTCTGCCAGTTAAATTAAAATATAATACGAGTAAAAGTAGATTTCTACTGTTGATGTTTTCATCAGGCTTTTCTTAAAAAAAAGTATGGTAAAGTATAGTTACAGCCTATACTTGTCCCACTGCTGGCCAAAGACCGCCTCTATGCAGATGGTATCGGGGCATAGTCCACCGCAAGACCCCTCTGTGGATTGGCAGACTTCACATATCTTCGAAAAATATATATTTTTTGTTATTATTTCTAACACTTGCAGGTTTCCTCACGATGTTTTCCTTCATCGCTGAACACGTGATAAGTCGGCACTTAAAATTAACAATTACATTGCTGCCAGCACCGGATCGAACTCCGTTGCTCGAGTAAATTGAATTGAAGGCGAGCGCCCTGGCTGAGCTATCACGGCTTTTCTAATATACCTTTCAATTTGTTTTAATATGCACAAAAACTACTTTAACAGGTCTCTGTACGCATGCCAGTACTTAACTTCGACAGTTGCAAGCGGTGTAATGGTTGTCCTCCATCGTAGGCTCTTACCGTTGTTAAAACATAATGATAAAAAATAAAACCAGAAAAAAATGAACATCGAACGGAACGGTGTAGGATCGCCACAAACTGTTTCATGTTATAGGATAACCGTTTTATGCCCTTTAGGTTGGAAATATTAATTGTTATCGTTAGGTATATTAATTTATCGTTACATTAATTGATATTTCCAATCATGATAGGTCAGTGTCCGGTCGCTTTTAATTCAAGTAGTGGTAGCCCAGTGTTCGAAATTCAACCATTATTACTTATATAATATGATAGTAAAAAAAAAATTGTAATCTGCACTACTCTTTAAACTTGAGTGTGGAAAATTTATTGATTTAATGTACTTTTTATGCATAATTAAAAAAAATTAGCATTCTGCACTACTCTATATAAACTATGAGTGTGGAAAATTTCATGCTCTCCCATCCTTTAAATATGGGTCCGTAAAAATGGGTACAAAGTTTTTGTTTCACGTATTAATATATAGAAGAATAGAATGATATATCCGATCAATCTGAATTCAAATCCCGGTGCCGGCACCAATGAAATTGTTGCTTGCAATTTTAAGCACAGGCTTATCACGTGCTTGGGGAAACTTGTAAAAACTGCTAACGAAACTTTCGAAGAAATTATTCAATAAAACAATTTGAAGATATGTGAAGCCAATCCGCAGTGCGATAGCATAGTCGACTATGCCCTAATACCCCATGTATAGGGAGGAATTTGCAAAGCAGTGGGATTTTTATGTATAGGTTGTTACTTACTTTTACTTCATTGATATAATATTTAATATTACAACTATACAAAACCCTTTCACTGGCATTAATAAAGTAAGAGCGAGAAATAAAACGAAACGAAAACTTATAAACAGCCTTTTATTTTTTAACTTTTAAAAAAAAATTCTCAATACCACAACTATTAACATTAACTTGAGAATTGGGGCTGTAGGATCGATTCGCAGTAGGGTACACGGAGGATATATACTTTCGCCTTTGCAAATTTTTTTAAATCCGCAAACTCTCTTTTGAGCTGACGAATCAGTAAATTTATTCGTTGTCCACGTAACTCGTTGATGCATATAAAATTTGGAACTCTACGATGCTCATACTAGATTTTTCTTTTACTTGCGTGTGCGTCACTCTAGGTAGACTGGTAGAGATTGTCTCAGCGCGTTACCCAACTATTCACATGTTTTTTGTATAAAAATTTAGATGAATAAGTAAAGTCTTCATAAACTAAAGAAATACATAAAAACAGTAACAAATAAAATTTCATGAAACCATGAAATGTTTCGAATTCAATTGTTGAATCATGATTTGACCATTTTTTAGTGATAACATTTTAAAATATTTAGCTATTTCTTTTTGTATTTGGGGAAGTCTTTAAGCGACACCCTGTCTACTGGGAGAAGGACAAGGTCATGTGGGGTTCCTACATCAAAACCCCCTCAGTAACTACCCTCAGAAGCCTTGGGAGGGGCTCCAGGGTGCCTTAGAGGTGCACACCCCTCTACATTGCATGTGATCATTAATCAGTGACCTCAATGCTTTACAGCGATACGACCACTACGTTTTGCCGCTCTCTCAGGGTCCACTGCAGTTCAGGATCATGTCCCCAATTCCAATCGTCTGTGTAGCCAGTGTCTTATTTTAGCCTTTCATTGTATTACGTAGACAGGGGTTACCTTATCCCAATCTTATGAGCCCGAGGCTAAGTTTGATAGTAGTAGTATAAAATAATAATCTATGCAATTTATTAATCTATAAATTGTCGTCCATTTCATCATTGGGACTTATTCTCGTAAAATATTCAGTGTGCTTACATTCGTCCGTGCCAGCGTGACAACTGGGCGAGGAATAGCGCATTGAAGCGGTACCGAGGGTACCTGTAAAAAACTGGACGCACTCGAGTATGACTGCAGCCCAGATTAACCTTTCCACGATTACTGGATAAACGGGCGGGTTAGCGGCGAGTGTTGATTATGGTGAATACAACTGCATCAATAAAATTCGAGGCAAACTCCACATATTGGACGTCCACAGCTGTGACTGTCGACGTCAAATATATCATAGAAGTGCCATTAAAGCTTTGTTAATTTATTGTTAACGGGATAAATTTTCTTTGACCAAATGAAGTTGACCAAGTACTTCTTATATAAGAGATTACTTAAAAGATGTGTGATAGTTTTAACAAACATCACTTTTATATATATTTAAATAAAGGTACATGTAACTTTCTCATTTTCTTCAAATAGCCAAGGCAGATGCTACGAATTTGACATTTGACACGTGCTGGTTTAGGCGGTCAAAATGCACGCTTAGAAAACATTGAAAAGTAGAAGGCGGCCCAGCTTGCTTTTATTAGACGCTTTCAATCGAGCGTGCCTTTACTATAATGAGAACTGTTTTGCCAAAGGAAACTTCGTTCGTGTCGCGGGATGTTTTTTTTATTTAAAAGTTGGCAAACAAGCAGGCGGTTCACCTGATGTTAAGTGATTACCGCTGCCCATGGAGGTCTCAAACACCAGACGGGTTGCAGATCCGTTGCGAACATTAATTAGTTAGCCGGTTAATGCACTGGACGCAACGCGAAAGAATAATATTTCAATTTCGCGATAGTCTTGTGAGACTGCGATAGTTCCCATTTGTTTAATAGTAGTAGCTGCCGCCTGGCCATACCGCAACGTTTTAGCAAATGATCTCATCAATACTACTAGAGCTATAGCAGCGTTCTGTGGTAGAGTTTGGAGGAGTTTTTGCTCACAGTTCTTACTGAAAGAATAGTCCAGGATACCAGAGTCTCACAGAAGAGTATCGTTAAGTAAAAGCTTCTACTTAGGTGCTGTTGCGTTTCCTATGGCGAGCTACTCTCTGTGGCTGGCAGCACGTTTTTGATGTCTATGACGGTCCCCACTTATCATCAGGTGAAGCATTTTACTGCATTAGGCTCACGCATCAGCTTTTTAATGGTTCGGAAAGCATCTGCAATACGTTTGGTGTTGTAGTGTCTGTTGGTGGCGGTAATCACTGAAGGCAAGGCGGTTGGTGGCGGTAATCACAGGTTAACTGGCTGCTCGCTTGTCAACACATAAAAAATCACTTTGTGTCATTACACCAATGGGCTGATTTGTCCGTGGAAGTACCAGGGCCTTATAGAAGACAAATGTGAAGTGGAAGTAATATACTTTCGAGTTTCCTCTGGTGGGTAAGGAACCCAGGGTCCACTTTTTCAAAGATTCTCAACGCATCTGCAAGCCTTCAGGTGTTGGAGATGTCCACGGGCGTCCATAATAACTTAGCGTCAGGTGGAACTCGCTTGACAACTTTACACTTCAAATAAAGCGCTTCTTTGAAATAATAAAGAGCTAACACCAGTTGGCAGCAAGCGTACAACCACATCTTTCGCGTCGTGGCCACAAAGCGATTGAATTTCTGAACAACAAGGCGCGACCGTCACCAAATAAACAATCGAAGACAATGATGTTTACCTAATTCGGCGGTGCGAAACAATTACGAATGCGAACAGGCGCGCGGCCGAAGATCACATCCAATCGGGACTGATGGGAAATAATAATCGTTAAACGTGGCGATTCTCAGAAGTGAGACGGGCGCCCATAAAAAGTTGTACACGTGCAAAGGCACATCCGACGGCCTCCCGCCAAAGACAGGCACCCAATAATAATGATTCAAACGACCGCTTGGACCCTTTAGGGGACTACTGACTTTGACTCAAGGACCGCAGCGCCCTTCTACGGTCCAGCTTACATCACATCTTGTTTGTTAAGGCGCAGTGTATTGGAAATATGAAATCGTTTATCGCCGCTAATTATCGATTCATCGTAAGTGCGCCGCCATCTTGGATGTGAGTTCGCGGCCATATTGCGCGCGCGGCTTCCGGCGTGCGCGTGGCCGCGCATGCTAATACGCTTGCGCCTGTCCATCTTCATGCGCGTTTCACCCGGCCCCAGCCCGATCGGATTAGTGCGACAATTCAATGTCCCATAAAGTAAGGTAAAAGTGGCAGCCTACATATTATATGCCTCAGTGATGAGCAAACGCAAAAAAAGCGGGAAAACTTCACTAAAAAAAACGTCCGCCCAGAAAGATTTGGATAAAGTCCAACTAACAGGCATATAATACATACATTTCTTAAGTGTGTCCAGTATGTCTGTTCTACACTCTGGCTCTACGGCTTACAATAAGGACAAAAGACGTTTGGCATTTAAAGACGTTTAATGAAACAATAAATTGCTAAGGATAGACTGCAGTGTATTAGAAAACTGCTGGTAGTCAATCCCTAAATTTGTGGCTAACAAACTTCATATTACACTTTACTTACCTATGTATTGCGACTGGACTGGGTATTAAATGTAGGGTCCATAATAATCTGTATGAAGACGTCAATACTTATCAGCTGTTTTCGTAACTATTGTGTAATGTTTGTGGCTTCCGTCTGGGATCACTTATAGTTCTCTTCGTTATTCTCTTTTTTAACATATACAGGGAGACTTTTCTACGTGTATCCATTTTTCTTATTAAATTCTAGACATAGATAATATTATATAAAAAAACTATAGATATTTAAAATCACTCGTAACTAATTAATTACATTCATTTGAACTTATCTCAAAAAGTGCGTGATTTATGGGGAACTCATTTATTTTACGCGCGATCATTCATAACTAACACGCACACAAGTTTATTTCAAAAGTATACGACGTATTTATGAGTGACTACCTTGTCAACAAGTTCTGTCTTTTAGGGACTAGAATTGCAATTTCTTTGGTAAAAAAAGTTTGTTTTTATTTCAATAAAGGATTATACTACCGAGTCTGAACCTCCTGTGTTTGGCCATCTTTAAAAAAGCCTCCCTGTATAAAGCATATTCTCTTATCCGGGCTGTGACAACCGTCAAGTGTTTTGGGTAAAGTGAGTGTCCCCGGAACTGATTTATCGTTAAATATTAATTTGATTATCATTAAATATGAATTACAAAATAGATTAAAACGATCGATAAGATTGCATCCATTTGAATGGTTTTCGTTCATCAATAAGAAATCGAATCGAGTGGTGCGGTGACATTCGTGGTCGTGTTTTGCGAAGTCCATCGGCATGGTTTAAACATCGCTGCAGAGTGTCCCGGGCGATCTCCGGCCCCTAAGACCCTCCAATTACTATGCCGTGATCCGTATTTGGATCCGAAGAGTCTTCAGACCCTTATCTACGAATCTCTCGAAGACCACCCGCTAAGCTCGATCATATCATTCCAATTATGAGCGCGGGCATACAGAGTGTATTCTCTTCGATTCACAGCGAAGATTTTATACGCTGATTAAGGTCTAGGTTTTTCTGAAATCCCGATTTAATTGAAATAATTGGGGGAAAAAAGGCAGAAAATATTAAGTCAGTAAGCGGCCCATTTGTCAGTCGAGGCAATGAGCGACATTTAATGGGTATAGAACAAATGTTAGGTTTCTTCTAACCGGGGTTAAATTTTATGAGTAAGTTGTATTGTAGTAGTTTCTAACAATCGCAGGACTATCCTCCACAATCCAGGGACTATCCCGAGGTACGTCAACAATTTTTCGGCTTTTAAAACCTTATCTACACTGATGTCTTCACATGTGCAACGCTATCATCGTACGAGATGCATATCACCTTCCTAGAGTCGAGTTGAGTTTTGATAATGAGCCGCGAATAGTGAGAGTGATTTCCTTAACTATACTACCACGCCATATGGTTTTGATACAAAATTTTAAAATTATTCGAGTGAATAATATTCTCATGTATGTGAGAAGGTAGCAAGCGAGCTGGCGGTTCACCTGATGTTAATTGATTACCGCCATCCTCATCTTAATAAAGCGGCCTGGGTCTAACAGATTGTAACGTGTTTTTTTACATTATAAATAACCTAAAATCATAACATAATATAATAATCACGTTACAGGCAAAAAAAATACAAACGTCACCTTTACACAAAGTTACAAAACGCAGCATATCTTATTAAAATTACAACTGTATGTATGTTTGCATGTATGTATGCGTGTCTGTATGAGCGCAAACGCCGTTCATAAGGCAAGCCCGTGAAGGAGATAAAGAGTTAAAGCTTATCGCGTCCACACAATAGTTCATTCGCTTCGCAAGTGAAGCAGACTGCTCGGCTGCAACCTAATGGAGCGGTATGACTTAACGACGTATCTACGGTGAAAAGAAAAGAACTAAAACAGTGTTGGTATAGAAGTATAGAACATACTGGAACGATTTGTTTATCTGCGCGATTACTATGCTGAATGAAACGGTTGTTTGCTTTTATTTCAGAGTACGTGGATGTTGCCAATTTTAAAATGTCAAACACTCAATCTTATTCACAACTGTCGCACATTATACCGGACAACAGAGCAACTATTAATGAAAAAGTAACATAATTTCATTCTTGTCATGAATAGTAGAAGAGTTGTACTTTTAATATATATATTATCACTATTTTTTTTACTTCGTAGTTTTGTTTACCGTTTTTGTTTTTTTTTAACTATAATACATTTGTAATTTTTTAATTTCGTTTCTCAGGCTTTCTCCCCAGAAAGAAATCGTGTATCCTGATGATTCTGTTATGGATAATGGGTCAAACTTATTAAACAATTTTATTGTCATCGGTCCTAGATAAGTGTGCAGAATTTCAATTTGAAGTGGGTAAAAACAGTGTTCGGAGAGAATCTCCGAACACTGTTTTTACTCACATACCTACATACATACAAACATACTTTTAATAACATAACTTTCTTTTAACTAAGTTCCAATAATCTTATTTTTTCTTATGTCATAAGTGGATGCAGAAATACGTCATTACTTGGTATTTCAGAGCCTTCGCTAAGACGAATGAATGACGATGGAGATATTATTAAACATATCACAATACAGTATACGCATGACACAATTTAAACGTCGCTTGCTCCAGTGTCTTTCGCGTCCGACACGGCGACGCCACGTTATAAAATCATTCAGCGATTATGTCAGTCAACTGACATTACTAGTAAATTGATAACGGCTCTATCGTGTTGTTGTCCGCCATCGGAGACGACGATCGAGCGAAATTTCAAGACAATTAAACCCTTTCATCTCTTCTCGGTGTGACGCCTCTTGGGAATTTTGACAGCGGCGCCAGCGAAGGTCACAGCCTCACCCTGTACAGACTTCTCAAATGTGTCTCAAAACGTTTAACTTGACACTTGAAGCTTGATGTGAAATTGATGTAAATGTGATTGTGTGATGTAAATATTGAATTTAGAGCAAAAGAGACCCAAGATAGGCAAAGAACATAGAGGATAGGGACCCAAGATAGATTTCTATCACAACACAATAGGGAGTATATAGAGATAGCGAGTACAATTCATTATTAAAAGCTAAAGCTGCTCGATGTTAAAAACACACGAATAAAATAATGATAATTCGCTGACGTCATCGCTCTTTTGAGAGAAGAGCAAAGGAGTAAATATACTTTCGCAACGTCGTCCGCGTAAAGTCCTCAACTCTATCAAGCAAGGGTAAGAAAGACTATATAATACGCACACGCGCACGGCGAAACCAAAACAACGCGTACAATGCACATCAGTGTTCCATGGCGATTCTCATCCGCAAGGATGCATCAATGTGCATTTTCCCCCAATATGCCGCTGCTTCCAGGTACTTATACCGAACCTCAATTTCACACCAAAGGTGACATTTTGAAATGTGCGTCCTTACTCAATGCGTGAGCCTTATCAAGTCCCTTGGATCTGCTGTCCCACGAGGCCTGCGTTCGATGAAGCTGTAATAGTCTACGGACTGAAAGCAATAACATAGTAAAGTGAAAATAGTCTCGTTGGACGCAATACAAAAGTATAAATACATTTTTTCAAACCACATTTCTGTTATGGCGTCGTACTTCCCTGGTCAAACTTGCAGATGTGCTTAAGGACCTGTTTTGTGAGCTTTTTTTTTTCGCTCTGTCATAGATCTTCTGTGATGCCGTGGCCATTAAAAGGGAAGTCTGTCTGTCTGCAACTATATTACACAACAGAGATATTATTGGTTCCGATTGTGTTTGTTATCGTATTGTGTCTTTGAAGTTACTCCGTAATTTCTCCCGAACTTCGTAAGTAACTAATTACGACAACACATTGCGTGTTGCGCTGTTGACATCTGCCCCTAACAACCGAAACGCGATTGTGATAGTCATTACAACAAAGAGAATGCTTTTGATAATTATTTGCGTAAAACGGAACGTTTTGACACATAACGAATGTACTACACGAGAATCGAAGTAATTGGACCCATAAAAATCGTTAAATAAGTTTCAAGAACAGCTATTTTAATTGCCAATTTAAATGAGAAATAATAAGGGGCCGGGCTGTTTTATACAAACTGTTTATTACAAGTCAATTGGGCGTTTTATGTCTCACGTCGTAAAATGATTATTGGTCATCAAGCGTCACTTTAAATGTTTGTTAAGTTAACACAGCTTTCTAATGGCTCGATTCTATAATCTGTGGTAAATAGACGAGTAAAAAGCTGGCCATTACGCCTCATTTGAGGAAAGTTAATTTGTAAGAGTAAGAGAGAGATGGCTTCCTGATTACCTTGACTATCGATGAAAGAATTCTGTTTATATTAAAAATTAACTTACAAAGACAACATCCATACATAACATGCTTATGCTTTAAAATATTATATTCTAAAGTATCTTCTAACTTCTACAAAATTACATAATAATAATAAATATTTTCGGAAACATTTTTTCACAACGTTCCCTAAACATACTATTGTTTTGTAAATAAATACTTATTATAAATATATAAACACCTAGACACTGGAAAAACACTATGTTTATCACACATTATTTTTCCAGTAGTGGGTTCAAACCCACACCCTCTGGCGTAAGAGGCAGGGTCACTCCTCACGTCATTGGGGT